TGCCCAGTGCTGGTGCCTGAAAGGATGGAAAAGATGTCTCTTCTGCCACAGACAGAAGACAAAAAGATAAAAAACAATGTGGATTTCCTCATGCCCAAAACTTCCTAACAAAGCACTTACTTTCCCCTTTCAAAAACTAATTTCAGGGCTGTTTGCAGAATCCTACTGCTGCTCCACTTTTGGAACACTCATCTTTCTCAGTATATCTAGTAGCCTGGAAACCTGACCTAATTAGTTAAAAAGGAGGAAAGACGAATTGTGGAATAGATGAACAGAATTTTTAAGTAACACTTTTCATAAGGGCATGCAGGAGTACTTCTTGGCTTTGTAATTCATCAGCTTCAGGCCTTAGAAATATGTAAGAGGAAGTTGATTGCAGCTGTGTAAGTTATTCTATAACTTCTGTAACTCCTGTGCTTGCAACCTGTCCCTTTTTGACTCGAAGCTTGTGTGAGCTGGCATCACTAAAGAGTAACAGGAGCCCAGTTGCTTCATAAAAATGTCATAAAAATAGATATCTTAATCTCTTTGTATGTGTGCATTATTTTTCAGCGTATGCCTGTAGTTTCTTGTTGTTTGCTCAGAATGCGAGCTCTTGCTTTTACAGGACTGTTTGATTTCTGGCACATTTGTATCTTGATTCCAAAACTCTACTTCAAAATATTACTGTAATTCAAATCACTTCATTACCACCTAGGTATTTCCAAAAGTGGCAGACAGCACTCAGAGCCTTATTTTTTATGGATTTAAATTCTGTGGCTGAATTCTTTGATGTCTAAGTGTCAAGTTCGACAGGAGTTTTTTCTGACCCTGAGGAATTCATAATACTGCTCTCCTTGGAGGAATCTCTAATATCTAGTAAGGGTCAACTTCTCTAACTGCCAGTTTTCAAAAGATTTATAGGAAATTAATTTACATTAAACTATTCAGTAAGTCGAAGATGAGAGAGAGGAGAATGCTCCCCTCCCAAGTAAAAGCCAACATATTCCTGTAGGAAAGTGAACTAGTAATCCCAGAGTTTGTTTATGTATTGCTGAACTCTGTTACCAGCAAAATGCTGGTAATAGGAAACATATTCCATAAGAGAGAGAATATTTAAACTAGGGCAAAATTGGAGGTTATTTGCTCTCTTCTAGTGATCTTACTCTGTCTTTATTGCCTCTTCATTGAGGGCAAGATTTTGTTCAATAAAATATAGAGTGGCAATGAGAAATGAGGCCTAGTTTGCATTTATCTAATGTGCTCTTACTAATCTCTTGAGCGTTGGAAATGAGCATTTTGCAGCAATATTCTCAACTTTTGTTGATGGCTTTGTGAACATAAAATGTTCGGTTTCTTGTGCCATCAGTAATCAAGTGATGAGGGTATGTCCGACGCAGAGGATGTGAGATCTCCTGGTGAACATGCAAGTCTGAAAACTCCCACCTGATTTCCCTATAACTCAGTGATTTTGCTTCCCTCACTTCAAGCTCGGCAGTTGGAACCAGCAAAATGCAGTTCTGGTTGAAAATGCCTGTGTAGCAGGTGTGGTGTGGGTACAGCTGAGCTGGAGTTGGGGCTGAAGGGGATCGTTTGTCAAAGCTGTTCACCCCACACCGGGTTAAAGATCAGGGGAGCAGAAGTCTGCAGGAAAACTTGTCAGCATTTTGATAACTCAAAGCCCAGTCACTAGAAAAATCTTATATTTTAAAATACTAACCTTCCCATTACGAAATCAATGAAAATTACTGTTTTAAACTAGTGAAAAGGTCTCCTGCTTTGGAGAGCTAAGATTCGCTTGGTATCCAGAAGGGCATGACATTTTTCCTGTGTTTGATTGTATTTGGTATATTAAATATGACCTCAGTGTTTAAGGTTAGTTGAGCTGTAATAGTTCAGAAAGATTTGGGGTGAGAATTTTTCAATTTGTTTTGTTAAGCCTCTGTAATAATTGTAAATAGTCATTCTTTCAAATAACAAATAGTAAGAGGTCAGATAATCCATATATATATATGACTCCATATTTCATTACCAATGAAAGTTCACGGCAGAAAAAATGTAGCTATGGTTAGGTGGATATTTCAGAGAAATCATTGGTGTATAAGTAAAAAAAGCTTTAATGGGAAGAAAAATGTATGGAATTATGAAACATGATTGATAATTCAGAAGACAACAAGGTATGAGCAGTTTTTAGCTGTAGATGTTCCCTGTTAGAAGACAGACTTGCTTAAATATCGTGGAGGAAACAAGAGGGATGATCTTAGTTGTGTTTTTTATTGATGAGGGATGGTTTTCTGGCAGTTTGTAGATTGGCAGACTTATTTTTAAGTTTAAAAATCACAGAAATGGACTCAGTCATTGTTTACATTAATTCCTGATTATTCTGAGTACTAGAACTTGAATTCAGCAATGGAGCTTAAAAATTTCAGTTACCATTTTTAGCAGCACTATTTTTCCTCTGGGTGGTGAGACTTGATTGATGAACTCCGAGTTAAACTGATAGTGCAGTTTTCTGGTGCCCTTAGGATGGGAGGGAAAAACTCTCTGTGTTCCCTACTGTTGTTAAAACACAGGTAATTTGTGGCAGTAGATTCCAGATGTTGCAGTTCCAGAAAGTACCTTTTTTTTTTTATGGCATGCCTTATGCTTTTCAATTTACACAACATTAACTCATTTTTCATAAATGTCCTAGCTGGAAGTTTAAGATGGTTTTCTGTACCTAAGTGTTCTCATTCGTACCATCGACTTTGTGACTGCCAAAATGAGCTAATAAAATTCAGCCTTTTCTGTTGTTTTATTTTGCAGAAAAATACTCAGTTTGGTGAGTTGTGAAAATTAATCTACATGAAAAAAAATATTTAAACAGTCAGATTTCTGTTTAATTAATTCAAAATCTGCAGCCTGGGGCTGTGGGAACTGCCCAGCCCCTGCGGCCCTGGAGGGACCAGCCTGGGGAGCTGAACTGAGAAGAGGGGCACTGCAAGGCCTGTGTGACAAAAAAGCGTGAATGCTATTTGTCTTTTCATTTATCAAATTATTTTTAATAAGGAGTAGGACTAGTTAAATTTTTCCATGGAGAAATTTTTTTCTTTAAAATGCTGTGGTTTTGTTTGATATGCAGGAAACTGTTATTACTGCTTAAAAGGAAAACCATAGGTTTGGCATGTAAAATACTGAGACCTGTGCAATTTAAAAAGTAATTTTATTTATGTAGTATCAAAATACAAATCAAAACAAAATTAGTGTTTTCATTTGGATGTTTTAACTTCACAACAGAAATGATGACTTGAATATCTTTGAAACTTCTCTCAGGAAAAACAAAAAACCTGGGAGTTCTTCATCACTTACGTGTATGAGAACCGCATTGCTTTCCCAAACCACTCTGGTGTTAGTTGGTTAAAACTGTCATAAGTCCACAGTGACAAGGTTTGAAGTGTATGTAGTTTGAAGACATGAACTTCAGTGACATAATGTAATCTACAGTGGGAATTTGGGTCTGTGTGCTGTAGGAGACCTGGGAAGCCTGAGGCATAGGGGAGAAAGCCTCCTGTGCAGGAATGTGGTCCAGCTGTGTTATACCCTCTGTCCAGCTCTAAAGGGTTCAAAAGGCTTTTTTGTTTAATATTTTCATTTGCATAGAGTGTGGGTTTTTTTCTTCTCAGAAGTTCAGAAGGGACTGAAGTAGACTATTTTATTTCACAGAGTTGTATTTTAAACCAGTGCTGTGCTAGTCCCTGGTGAGACCAGAACAATATACACAATGCGTGGTGTTGAGTGAGGCATCTGGCTGCTGGAGATATGTCAGGATTAATCCAGTATGTTCCCATTCAGTTGCTACAGTTTTAGGTTCTTCTCAGCATATTATACTGGACCAGGCTATAACTCATACAGCATTGACTGTCATGCCCATACCGCTTCCAACTTTTCACATTCCATTGGCCTGTTTTTTTGGAGGAAGATGCCTTAGCTTTACATAGCAGTAGTTTTCCTGGAGGAAACTAGCTAAGGCAGAGAAAATTGTCCTGTACTTGTGCTGACATATGTATCATAGTGGTGCAGAGGGACTGAGAAAATTATTTGAAGTCGTCTGTGGTCTGAAATGTTCAGCAGATGGGCAGCTGTGACTCAGTAAGGGTTTTAGAGATGCAGGAGAGTGCACAGATCAGCAAGAATCCATTTTGCCCTGGTTATAATGGAAAACTGAAGAACGGATACCAAATACAGGGTTATGTGGGATGATGGATTCTGTGTGATTCAGGTCTCTGGTAGTACCATGCCCACAGAAGGATTTCCATTGTTGTCTTTTCATGTTTGCTTGAGGATTTAAGTGTAGGTGAAAACATTACAGACCACTCATGTGTGGCTTAGAAAGGGAAGACAGTCATCCCACTACTGTCACTTAAAGCTGTTACAGCAAATAAATATGTCTGGATGCATGAGCAAGTGTCAGATCCACCGTATCCTTTATCCAGTGCATAAAGGATAGACATAGGTTTGCTTTCTGCTGGACTAGTATTAAATCCCTAATGAGGGGCTTCAGGAAGGGCAATGAGGGCAAATGGCAGAGTGATGTTACAATATCTGGTTAAAGGCTGGAAGAATTGCTTGTCTTCTGATTACAGGCCACTTCAAATATAAGATAGACTCTCTATATATGGGGCAGATGTCCCACCAAAATCCTTGTAGCTTCAAACTCCAGGTGTGTTTCTAAATAAATAAATAGAAGTTTGGTTTGCCAACACTTCCATCAGTCACTACTCCAGCCTGTTTCCAAGTGTCCTATATCCAGTAGCCACTACAAATCCATGACTGATGACTGTCTGGTGTCTTGTTATTTGGTGGTTCTTGTGCAGGGAACTAGTTTCCAGGTCTCCTGGAAAGAAAAATCCTTTCTATCCTTTCTTTCTCTCACCCAGACAACTTCTCTTGCAATAACATAGACCATAAGAAACAAGGAGACTTTTGGGCAATTGTAAATCAGCCTCTCCATTCACACCCCATTTTCCCTTCCTTTCATACAGGTTGATAAAGTGTGTGGGCAGCCCAGACAACAAGAAGGGAACTTGTCCTCAGCCAATATAGTGCCAGTGAAGGAAGTGACTGAAGCCCAGACGTTCGTGATGGCTCATGCCAGCCTGAACAATAAAAGAAGGTAACCCTGAGCTACAGTTGCTTTGAAACAAACTCTCTGCCTCCCAATTTGTGCTATTGGTTCCTTGCACTGTAATTTTCAAACCAGAGCCATGGCTCTGTCACCTTGTCTGTGTGTGCTCTCCAGCCATTGCCATCATGGATATTCATAGGGATGATTTTGTGGTGTTATATTGTGGGTCTCTCCAAGAAAAGCTTTTTACAGGCCAGACTTGATATCGTCGCTTAACACCAAGGTGTTCATTATTTCGAGAAACTTTCAGTGAAAGTTTCTCTTCACCAAAGTCCGAGGAAACCAATTTCTGCCGTTGAGTCTAAAGTACTTAAAATACAACTGCCCAGATCTTTAGGGACTTGAGCTTATCCAGGGACAGAAGTGTGAGGGAAGAAGGAGTGAAAGGAAAGATTCACTGCCCTGACATCAAATCAGTCCAGTCGGTCCCTGATTTCACTGTACTGGGGAGGAGTAGTAAGATCCCTTGGAATGTCCTTGATTTGGTACATAGCAGAGAAAGAACTGGAGCATTTGTTTGGACTTGTTGTGTCCGTCTTGGTTTCTGTTGAGACAGTAGACAGCTGAACTACAGACACTGGCCCAGGCAAGAGTATCCCTGCTCTCAGATCTCCTAAGTTTTTCTTTCACTTTACCTCATGTAGCTCCTGAATTGGTTTTCTGTAAATTGTAAGTGGAAAGGGAGGGATGACTTTGCAATCTCACTCATGATACATGAGTGGATAGCAGAGCTAACTGTCATAAAATCAAAGTGACCTCTTTCTGGCTAACATATTGTCCTCTGTAACAGCAGTATTGAGCTGGAACAGCTTCAGCCAAGTGAGTGGAATCCTGCTGGGCTTACACCTCTATCCAGGAACAGTGTCTAATCTACCCAGGGAGTCCATGTGTATCTCTGTATGTTGGATAAATGGATGACAGACAGCAATATTAAAATTTCCATTGCCTGGATTCTCGACTTTGAGTTGTGAAGATGAGATTTTTATCCATTTCTACTTTAATTCTCATCTTAGCTCGCATGAATGGAACAAACACTGCTTTAAAAGATAAAAGTAATAGAAGCAGGGCAAGTTTTTTGTGTGATAGTGGTAATTTTATCCCTCTGTAATTTAAAACCAAAACCTAACAGTTTATGCTACTGGTTGGAGCTAATCAATTTTTACCAAGCAAATCAGAGAAAAGAGCATTAAAGAAATTATATCAATCAATTCAGCAGTAAAAATCCGAGGAACAGTTGTAGTACAATTTATAAGGCAGACTTTTAAAAACACAGAGCCCTAGACCATCTTCTGTGTAGCTCATGGACTTCACTGGGACTTGAACACTAGCAACCAAAAAGGCAGAATTGCCAACCTATCAACAGGTGACCTTTATGTCTTTCATGGCATGACAGCCATTCTTTCTCACCTGAGGATCTGCTCCCTCCCCTTCCCAACCATATAGAATTATTTGGATAGTGACCTTTTAAACTGTAAGACTTGTAAATGGAAAAGAAAATAAACTAATGCGCTGTAAATTAGACAATTTTCCAAAATTGGTCTGCACACTGAAAATTAATTTATCAAAAAAAATCTAAACTAAGGCCATGCTTACATAATTAGCATGAAAAATTGCTGAAATACAGTGTTGATAGGTATTGTGGGGAGCCTGTGCACTGAAAATGAATGATGGAACCATGCCATAAATAGTGAGAAGTGGAAAAATTGAAAATATTCTCCACAACATCCTATAAAACACATGGCCTGAAGCTTGTACTTTGCTTCTTGGAAACAATTGTGAAACCATAAATAGAGTGAAAGATGCAGTGATTGGCAGCATCACTGTGTTGTTCATTCTCTATCATTTAATCACATATGATATCAATAAAAAGCAATTTAAGGTAATAAAATATTATAATACATGGGTGAAGTCATTCCTGCAGTGGGTTATGTAGAATGCACTTAGAGTGACAGAGAACTGATATGGGGGACCAGATTATGAGAGTAATTACGTGAATCTTTTTAGATGCTATTGTTTGTGCTGATTTTAAGAAATGAAGAGCAATAATGTCAGCTGTCTTTCAGTTGAGGTACAAGGTCACACAGGGAACTGGTTCTGCTGAATCTGTCTGTCAGTCTATATAATAGACATCCCTCCAAATGATCCTTAATTCAAGGGGAATATGGAACATGACTCCAGCCTTTTAAAAAAAGGAAAGAAAAAAAGAAGGAATGAGCCAGCACTCTCCAAATAGACACAAAAGCCGTGGCTCGTGCCCTTAATGTGTCAAAATGTTCCTGAACTCAAAAGAGAACTCAACTGGTTGGCATGTCTGTGGGAGAAACCAGAGTCATGTAGCTTCTCATCTCCCCTACAGAACCCAGTGCCAGACAGCTTATACCTATAGATGGATATTTGCTCCAAAGCTAATGAGTCTTTGCCAGGCCAGTTACGAAATCCAACTCCTTTTCCAAAGAATTTGAGAAGCCTGGTTTCAGCAGCTCAGCAGAGCCAGGGCTGCTCATGCAGCTGAGAAGTGAGATTGTTCAATGGCATCTCTTGGCCTGATGTCATTCCTGGGGGAAGGTGTTTGGGGTCTGGCTGCAGCCAGCCCTCCTCACCCTCTGCTGTCTGCACACGGAGGTCCTGCATAGTCCCTGAGGGCACAGACCAACTGGATCCTCTTTTGCAGTAGTTGAACCCTTTTCTTCTCCTCTTACTCTTGTGGGTTCCTGGAACATTTCCCATCTCTCTTTATTTTATTCTGCATTCCATTCCTACATATTTTTTTGTTACGCATCACTAAGTGTCAGGGACAATAGTGAAAGAAGGTGAAACTTGAATAAATGTTGCATGGTCTTGTTGGAAACCTTTTCCTCTGATTAACCTGGAAAGCATCAAATTGATTGTAATTATTTTTTTTGCATTACACAATGGTATTCAGGGATTAAGTGAAACTGGCAGTGTTACTGCTGCAGTCATTTTTTAATGTGGAGGTTACTATAACATGTAATAGAGATGACAAGAAAATTGAAACCATATGATGGTACAGGGAATGTAAATGGCATGTACAGAATCTCAGTGAGTAAATTGGAATGTTATTGCTGAGTTCAGCACAAAGAACTGTTCTGGTCAGGGTCCAGTCTCCTAGCAAAGTTGAATACCTGCCTTTTAGCGTCTCTGCTCCATGAAGCATTTCAAACCACTAAACACAGACTGGTTACAAAGCTGTATATATAATAGGTTACATTTAATGAAGAACTGTAATTCATTAGGTCCCTAGTTGGAGGAAGCAAGCTTTGTAATTGTGTTTTGCTGTGAATTTACAGATCTTTTATACGTCTTAAAATAAACAACTTAGGAGTTTCTTTGGGAATATTTGAAGTCGATGGTATCTATTTTATTTAAAATTAAGTATCTATTGGGTCAGACATCACATGATTTTATTAAAGTTTGAGTAATAAAGTGCTAGTACAAAACAGATTAATAATGTCAGATGCACATTAATGTCTGGCCCAGGCAGAGGTTTCAGCTGGCCCAGATTTTCCCTGTTACCAAATCTCATTTTGTTTTATGAGTGCCTGTGTTGGAATCGCTACCTCAGTGATGGAATGTGCCACTCACCTGATGATCAGGGCAGGTCCCTCCTCTCCTGTGGCCACCCCTGCTATGAGCTCTCAGAAAGCGTGAGGGCAAAGCTGCATCCTCTGGGTGTCCTGAGGCTGCTGAAAGTGGTCACTCTGTTCAGTAAGAGTGAAGTGGGTTCGGTGTGGAACTAGTTTGGAGGCACTCGTTGCTCCAGCTCTGGCCATTGCGTTACACAGGAGGGCACAGGTGTGAGAGCAGGCTGAGCTATCAAACCATCTCAGTGGAAAATTACATCATGATGTAAATGCTGGATGCAATGTCTAATGTTAATTAAGGGACCTCAGTTTATTGGTGCCACAAAATACTTTTACACGAAATAATTGCCTGGGTTATTTCCACAGTTCTTCCTCCAGTATAACCCTGAAGCCTGTATCTCCTGTTTTGCAAAGCTGGGTGTTTGTAAATGGCAGATCTGACCAGAAGAGAACAGCAAAAAAATATCTGTACTTACACATTTATTAACAGGCAGTAAATTGCTTGTCGTATCAGAACGTGAATGCTACTCTTTTATGTCTCTCTTCCCTTGGTTTTCATTCTAAACTGCCATTATTTTCTTGTACAACTCCATGTATTTGCAGTTCTTCCGTTTGGTATCAGTTATGGTTAATTTAAGTACTGCTGAATTTATTTTCAGCATTCTGCTGTGTGCTCTGCATTTGTAATTGTGCTTGTATTTGAAAATGATGGGGACAAAAAATCTTGGTTGCAATTTCCCCCCCCTCCCCAATATTGCATTGACATTTTTGATGGTATCTATATTTTGGAAAATCTCATGACAGTTTTTCTCCTTATTTATTTTCTTTTATTATCCTGTGCATGTGCTTGATGACTTTTCTTTCAAATAATTTTTACTTTTCTCTTTTGTTTCTCATATCTTTTCCTCATTTGCCTGAATTCCTGCTTCTCCCCTACTCCCCAACTCTCCTGATTGATGCTAATTCTCCCCGGCCTATTCCAGTTCTCTGCCTCTGAAAGCTTCAAAGAATGACAAATCAAGAAGTTTGAAAAAAATCTCTCGGTAAGAATGAAAACAAGGTGACATCCTTTGTTGTCTCTCCAGTTAGCTCATCTCCAGCTGTAACCTAGAAGTTGGCACACTTTTGATTGCTGCTTTTATACTGTGGGGTGCTGGGAAATTGTACATTTTCTACCCTACTGAGTTTAGTTTTACACTCAGGAAAAGTAAATATTTTTGCTCAGAAAGATTGAGAGTTGGACACAGAATTCTCTGTTTGCTAAGATGCTACTTTGAAATGTCAGAGCCTCACTCTGCTGAGAATGCAAAGGAGTTAAAACTTCTTGGGGTGAGCTGGGTAAGACAAGCTTTAGACTGTCAAAAGGTGCTGTTTTTCTCCTTCAAAGAAAACGCCAGTTTAGCACCCATAAAATCTTTAGCATCTGTGTTGCCTTTCAGAACTGATTCTCTCAGGCTGTTCTGTCAAGTAAGCAGCCTTCGGGCTGGGCCTGGCTTTCCTGCGTTAATACTTAGAGCTTGTATTTGTAAGTTGGTAGTCAAGAGGTTGAAATGCTGATTCCCTCATCATAAGCCCAAAAATTCCTGCTTTTTTCTTTGCTTAAAATAACAGCTTTCCTGCTCTGTTATTTTCTTTGGAACGTGTAACAGTTAATTTATCTAGACCAGGATTTCATCCCACAAGATAAATGGGATGGTTGAACACTTGAAAAAGTATAAAGATAGCTTTGGGGAGAGAAGACCACTGCCTAAACCGCGTAGGGATAGATATTTAGCAGTGGACTTCGACGTTGTTTAAAACACTTGTTGCTCCTAAAGGAATGATAAATCCTGACTGGTTTTGTGCCAAGCTTCATCCAGCCATCACCCCAGGCACGTCTTCAGTGCAGTGTCCCCTTATGGCCTGCCAGGCTGAAACATTGGGAACCAAAATGAGTCCTTTGGCCTTCCCAGTGGGAAGCAGATAGCTCTGTGATAGCTCAGTTTGTGTCCTGCATCTTGTTCTCCCTATCTTTAAGGTCTCATACCAAACAGGAGCTTCTAAAGCGATGGAGGAGGGTAATTTCTCATTCTGAAATACTCTCAATTGAGATGGGTTAACAGAATGTGTTAAAACCACCCTTTGTGTGCGTAATTATGCCTGTTAACACTGGACTAAATCAGATTGGATGATAAATAGGGGTAGAAATACACTAGAAATAGAAATCCATTCAGGTTACTTAAATTCTAAAGTCTTAACCTTGTGGAGGGTTTAGATGACAGGGGCTTAAATGCTGAGTTTCCTGTTGTGTTGTTAAATATGTTCCTCCTGCGTTACAGAGAGTTCATCAGTTACATGAAGCGATCCCGCACCTTTTATGCCTCTATAGCAGAACGTCTGTGTGATGGAGACCTGGTCATGAGAGACAGCTCAACCTGCTGGAATGGAGAGGATGTTGTGGAAAGGTAAAGTTACAAGTTAAAGTTTGCTGTAATTATGGAAAAAGAGACTTCGTATCCTTCTGATGGTTCAGCAGCAACATTCTACTTTGGCAGCTAATTTTTTTCCCCCCTCTGTTTTTTATCAGGGTCTTTGCCATCACCCTTTGGACTCTAAACTGGAATATACACTTTCTTTCCATGAGCTAAACTTCTTGCTGTCTTGCTTTTACTCTGTATAACATGAGGCAACATCACCCTGAGGAGAGAACAAGATGTTTTAAGCACAACTATATCTTTATTATCATTGTCAAAGTATATATCAGTTTTTGCAGTGAGCGCTTGTTGAAAGTGTACCAGTGAATGTTCTCCAAAAACTTCTTTTTGTCAAAAAAGGAGATGTTCCATGGGATTGTTGTTGGTTTTCATGATGTTTCTTTTTGAAATGTGTTTTGTGGTCGGTAGCAGTTATAAAAGGTGCAGTTCTAGCATTCTGTGTTCTTACTTAAAAACAATTGCCATGCTCGTAAATTGTTTTGTAGGAAATTACAGAATAATTCCAGTATGGAACAGAGAGAGATGTGACAATTATGTCTGTCCTATTAAAGGGAGTTCTGACTCCCACACAGCTCTGCTTAGTTTTCTCATGTGTAAATAACTTCAGCTTAATTACATCTGAGGTATTTGAAGATAAATGCATGTCTAACACATCCAAAGATAACTTTTAAGTTTAATGTTTCACTGTATATTGTCATTATAAATTATTTGTAAAGCATATGTTTGAAGATTTTGGCAACAATGTAGTATTCTAAATATTTACATGATTGTAATACTGATGGAAGTTTTTACTGTAAAAGTAGTGGAGAGGAAACAGGAGGAATATCAGTATTTCCACTTCAGAATGCCTTTTGGTGACGTTGGTGATGTGTTGCTGGATCCAGAGTTAACTTTTAGAACAAACAGATTTCTGGCCAAAAGAAAAACAAGAAAAGCCAAGCAAGCAAAAATAAACATTTTCTGTGTCAACTCTCTGAACAAAAAAGTTAATAAAATGTTACATTTAATTTTTATCCTACTTTGTTAAAAAAACCAAACAAGCCACTTAAATTCCTGATATACATGTTTTAGAAAGGCATTAAGGGGAAAGCTGTTGTTATTGTCCTTTGCCCATCTGTAACTTTTCCCAGAGTTGGAAACATGTGGAAAAGATTCAGGTTTGAAAGCGACAGGAAGGCTAGGAAAAGTAGCAGGGAAAAGGCTAACAAGATTCATCATATTTTGAATTAAAAAGCAAAAACAAAGGAAAGAAAAACACCAACAAACAATCTACCCCCAAAGATGACAGCAGCAAAAAATCCAACCCCACCACCAAACTCTAAATGTCTGTCATTAACACATTAAATAGGCTAAATGGAAAATAAAAGATTAGATTCATGTTTTAAATCAGAAATATATAAAATACCATATAATAATATATAAATATTATACACTTATATACTCTCTTACAGTATTGACTGCCTTAAAAGGAGGAGACTTTCTGGGCAGCCTGCACTGCCAGCAGTGCTACACAGGGCTCCTGCTTGCTGGCACAGACAGGGCTCCTGCTTGCTGGCACAGACAGGGCTCCTGCTTGCTGGCAGACTTTGCTCCTTTCATCATCTGTTTTATAGGCTGGACCTGTCACAGTTCTCCCCGCATGGGACATAAACCTGTCCTGGTGATGCCTGAAGATGCATTTCTCTTTACTCTTTCTCCTTTCCCAGGACACCAGAGCATTAAATATCAGCAGTAGTAAACAACTGAGCTCAAAATAGAGCCTTATTATTAACTGTGTAGCAGAAAATAGATCACCCCAGTTAATTTGGTGGATCTCCTGTGAACCTGAGTTTAAGGTTGCTCAGGCTGTGGAGCTGGTAAAAGCTGCAGTTCCTGTTTCCTTGATACTTCTTGCATTTCAAAATGCTGTTTGAAAGCTGAGCATTATATATGCTGTGTGCTGATTGGCACACAAGCTCTTTAGGAAAAACAAACTTGACCTTCAAAACCAAATTGACACACAAATGCAGCCTGAAGCAAAATGAAATGAGGATCCTGCATTCAATTAGTAGAGAGGGCACCTGAGTCTGTGAGAGGGTCTGATAAACAGAATTGGGCCTTTTTATTTTATTATAGTTCTTTGGATTGGGTTTTATTGTGTTTAAATCATTGCACAAAAATTTTGAGCTGCCAGTTAAATACATCATAAAAAGAGTCAGGTTTCCACTGGCTTGAGAATATGCTTCTGGCCTGCTCTTCAGATGAACAGGAAAACATACCTTTGCTAGGAATCCTCTAGTGTCAGTTCAGGACAACATTAGAATTACTTGCACCAGGAGTACTGCCTTTCTCTTCATTGCTCTTTTGAGCAAGTTTGTTCTTGGAGCAAGACTTGATGTAAGAAAGAGTCTGTCAGGAGAATGAATAGTCTTGGTATACAAAAATGCTCAGAGAAAATGAGGATGGAGCAGTAGAACTGGAAAACTACTTTGAAAAGTGAAGCAAGCTTGGAGAAATTTCTGTGCTGGAACCTTTTTTTCCTGCCAGTGATGATTGTCTCAATACCATATCAGGAGAGGAGACTGCAGGGGAAGTTGATGGCGTTAACCATTATGTGCTGCCAGCACTAGACACCATTCATCTGAGAAATCTAGAAGGCCTAAAGGGTTAAATTTTTCATCGTGATACCGTATTTTCTTTAGGACTGCTCTAACATTAGAGGCTGGGAAGATGGGAAACTTGAAGACATCATTGTCTTTTTAGCAAAATAAGGGTTTTGTAAAGGTGTGGATGGTAAACTTGGTATATGACAGTAAAATCTATAGAAACTATAAGCAGATGAACACGGTAGGGAAATGAATCTAAATGTCGAGAGCCTTTAGAAGGTGATAATGAGCATGTAGACAGGTAGATTGTGGTGTTCTGCTTGAATTTCTGATAGATATTTCATATCCTTCACAAGAGACTGGTAGAATAGATGGTCATGGCGTGGTGTTCATGATACAGGCATGTGGTGTCTGCAGTTCTGCTGTGCCCTAGGCTTGGAAAGATAGAGCACAACCACAAATGTACAGAAGGAGAAACGAGGAGGAGGATCAGGGGCATGAACTGCATCCTGTATGTGTAATGGCAAGCACTCCAGCCTGGTACAGAAAAGATAGAAGAGGAATATGTGGCCCATAAAAATCATGTGTGCTGTGGAGATGCCCAGTAGGGATCTCCTGTTTGTTCTCTCTTTCATTACAAGAACATGGGACATTGTTAATTAGTGACAGCTTGAAAGCAGAAGTAGATATTCCTTTGCTAAACTTCTGGTTAAGCTGTGAAACTTCTTGCCTCAGGATGTTTGGATGTTCAAAAAAAATGGATGAATTAACGAGCAAATTCAGCCCATAGAATAACAAGTTGTATAACTAACTGTCTGGACAGATATGAGGCAGCAAGGTGCCACATCCGTATCTCTCTCTCTAAGGCAAAAAGGCAAAAGATTTCCTCTAGTCACTCTTAGCCACTTGCTCCCATGACCTTCTCTTCTGTAGAGACTGAACTGCAGGAGCCTTCTTCTCCTCAGTAATATCTCTTCACCTAAATGAAATGCTGGCGTTGAATGAGTTTCTCCATTCTGCCTGGCCACAGTAGCCAAACAGGATTTGCTGTCTCAGCCTTATAAATGGCAGATTAGTACAATACAGCATCCAAGGACTTTCCCCAAAGCTCATATGGAGATTTTCTGTTGTACACAAAACGTGAATTTCCCTTTAGAACTCCTTTTTAATGAAATTTGGATTTTTGTGAAGTCCTAGTTGGACTAGAGCATCCTTCTCAGAGTCTGCTCTTTCTCCTGCTGGAAAAGGCAGAAGGAGATTTGGACTCACTGGCAAGCTTTTTGGGTGTGTCTCTCTACAACAAATGGGCAATCCTGATTTGGAAATAGCACTTTCAGGGATCAGGGGGTTGTGAGTACTAATTAAAGTTAGATAATCATTCAGTCTTTCCATCTCTGCCTGCCTACTTGTCTCTTGTAGTTTCTCTTTCCAGAGGGATGAAACAAATAATAAACAGACGGTGATCTGCACGTGGAAGAGTTACGATATGATAAGTGTAGCCATGGTAGCCAACTCTGGGCACTGCTCACTCTCTCCCACTCTTTGGCCAGGGCTGTGCCATTAGTTCTCATGAAGAGGCTGATTGCAATCTGAAGACTATCAACTGCAGTGCCACTGCTTGGGCTTTGGGGCTGGAGTGTGGAAGTTGCTCGGGAATGTTTGGTAACCTCAGCACTTGAGGTGTTAGTGGCAGCCTCCTCCTTGGTGTATCTGGACCTTACCCTGAAGCAGCAGTGATGGTGCAGCACTGCTCTGCATTTCCTGAGCTCTGCTAAAGGTGCATTCTCAGGGCAGCTGCAGAAGATTTGTTCTCCAGTTATTGTCACGTAAATGGTCATATGCCTTCAGCAAGACTGTTCAGGACTCCTGTCACAAGCAATGTGTCAGGATCTCAGGATTTTTGAAAGTTGAGGGGTCTGCCTGTTGGAGTGCAGCTGGCTGGGTGTGGGGACTGTTCCACAGAGGAACACACACTAAAATCTCCTCTGTCACCCCTACAGGAAGTGTTGTCATTTTATAAATTGAAATTTAGAGGCTGACAGATGCTACTGAGAATTCTGAGAGTGCTGCTGCCATTTCAAATATCCTTTTAAGCAATGAGTACTCGCAGTTACTTTGATCTACTCTAAAATGCACACCATTGCTACTGTGGTGTTGCAGGAAGCAAAAACCAGCTTGAGTATTGGAGTAGCTAAATGTAAGCTGGTAATGAAGAAGAAAGTGAAGTGGTGGGTGCTTGGGATCACTGCAATAAAACCCTATTTGTTCAGGTGCTGTAACGTGCTTTTAGGCTGCGTCTCCAGTGCACAATAGGCACTGATCTTCAGAGAAAGGGATTCGGTGCTGATATCCCAATGCCGCACTTATCTGTGCTTGTTACCTGGG